TCTTTTTTTTTTTTTGGTACTGGGGATTGAACTTGGGACTTTGCACTTGCGAGGCAGATGGCAGAACCACTGAGCAAAATCCCCAGCCCTGGCCCTTTATCCCTTAAATATTTGAAGGAGATGGGGAGATGGGTCTGGTCAAGCTCTGGTAGCTTAGGTGGATCACACTTTTTTACAGCTCGATGACCTCATGAAGAGGAGGAAAGAGAAGCTTGATTCTGTGATTGAATTCTGCATCCCTGACTCTCTGCTAATCCGGAGAATCACTGGAAGGTATTTGTCCCTTGAAGGTCCCATCTTTTCATGCTTCCTCTGGGCTTTATCAGACTGTGAGAATTGCTCTTGCATAATCCCATATGTAAATCTTATTGCTGTTTCAAAATGGATTGATCTGATTTGCTGACATCCACTGAACAGGTGACCTGGGATAGGGTTAGAGAAGGAAGAAGAAGGGCTTTGAGGTCAGACAGTATCTGAGTCCCATACTTTTATCTTTGACCCTAGGCACATTTCTTAAGCTTTCTAAGGCTGTTCCCTCATTTGTAGAAATGGGCTAATATTACTATAGTACTTGCTTTAAGGAATTGTTACACGTGTTAGGTAACATAAAATACATAGTCCAGAGCTTCAATTTTAGTAGATGCTTAAGAAATGTTATATTCCTAATAGGTATATTTCTAGTTTAGTGCTTTATTTTTGTACTGGGGATCGTACTCAGGACCTTGCACTTGCCAAGCAGGCCGGTGGTACCACTTAGCTAAATCCCCAGCCCTAGTGCTATTTTTCTAAATCTAATTTCAGTTGGAATTGCCACACTTTGCTGTAGGCTTTTTATTAATTATAAAAATAATACCACCATCTACATAAAGCCTGGAAAATTTTGATCATAGTGCAGCCACTTTATTACTTTGGGCTGTGTTTTGTTGTAACATGTTTGTTTCTCTGTAATAGTGTTGAACACAGAAATGCTTCTGCTTCTGAACCAGTTTATACTGAAAAACAGTTGCTGCTTTAGGCTGCAGTTTCCTCTACCCAATTTTACTAGTTACTCCGCCATCGGCTTCATGCCTTCCAGAAATATGTGGAAAGCTCTCAGCCACTAGTGGACATTCTGTTCTTTTCTTTATTGTGGGTAGCTTTTTTATGTCTCTGTCATTTCTTAATGAAGCCTCAGGAAAGTGGTCAGCACACTATCTTGAACCAGAAGTCCATGAGCATTGTTTTTCATTGTTATATGACATGTCAAAATAGTAGGTAAACCATCCTTAAGTATTCCCTTATTATTGTACATTTGTGTTTTATCTAATTAGCCACTGTTAAATTGATACTATGACCATTATAGAACATGTGAATTTGTGTGTTTTGTCTTGCTTTGTTTTGGTTGGTTGTTTGTGGTACTGGGGATTGAACCCAGGGCCTTCACAGTGAGGTACATCCCAGCCCCTTTCTTATTTTGAGAGGGTATCTCCCTTAATTGCCCAGTCTGGGCTCAAACTTGCACTCCTCCTACCTCAGCCTTCCAGAGTGCTGGGATTACAGGTGTGTGCCACTATGCCCTGCTCAATTTTTTAATTTAATCAGAAAGATGTTTTCTTGGCTGTTGTTTTGATTTCCTAGTAGGATTAAACATTTTTTCCATGTGTCAGTTATCCATACCTTTAGGGAATGAGGTAGGCTGGTCGTGGTGGTGCACTCCTGTAGTCCCAGCCCTTGGGAGGCTGAGGCAGGGTGGCTGCTTCAGGCCAGCCAGGGCTACATAGTGAGTTCAAGGCTGACTTGAGATATATAGTGAGACCCTGTCTCAAAAAAAAGGAATGAGGCAGACATGTGAATAAAGCAGAGTGAGTGTAAGAGCTGTTACCCTGGAAGGCTGTATGAAATGCAGTCAGATCTGCTTAATATTAATTTATTTTTCAAATGTCCAAGTTTCATGTTTCTAGCTATTCTGAAAGTTTCTGCAGTGCAAGGGCTTTTGTTTCTTTATCTCCTCATTTGGCAAGGAGTAGGTAAGTAAAATTGATTTAAGCCAAGAAGTGATAGGGTTGACATTAAATTACATTACCAGGTTTGAGCTCCCTGAGGTACAAAGCAAGTATTAACAGCATTGGGTGACACTGGGCACCTTTGATTTGATGGTTCTGGTGTGCCTGTTTCCTACGTCGTACACCAACCTCGGGCAGAAGACCAAGAGAGGCTCTAGAAGAACAGTACAGTGACACACATCTCTGGCTTTAGACAGTCATGTATGAAATCTGGGCTCTTGTGACCATTTATTTGGTGCAGTAAGAAGTTCAAGAAGAGACCCTGGGAAAGGGAGGGGAGGCTTCTTGGGAAAAGATGTGACACTGACTCAGCCTTCCTGGATGAAGAGAATTTCAGTGAAGCTTTCCCAGAAGGGAGTGAAACAAGAATGCGTATGGGCTGGTAGAAGACAGGTCTGCCCAGAGCTGGAGGAGTGCTGTAGGGGCGAAGGGCGGAATGAAGACAGGCTAGGAACTCAGCAGGAGGTCTGCTGTGCTGAAGAGGATACACTTGACAGAGTCCAAGGGTCAAAAGGATGTTCTTCAGCCACTGGGCATTCTAAGGCCATTAGCTTGGTGCTGGCATAAAAGCTAAATTGAGAAGAAAAACAGATAAGGACCCCATCTGGAGTCCTCTGATGATCCATATGAAGCAATAGAAGCTTCTGACTGCTCAGGTACTGAAGGAAAATATTCTGGAGAACAAATTGCAGGATTGTGGTAGAGGACAGTAGGGGAAAGCTCGGACCCTTGATTTGGAAGTGAGAGGCTTATGTTGACTCCCTCCCTCACAGAGAAGGACTTGCTTTCTCACAGGGCATGCCGGATGGGTGAAGGTGTTTTTCCAAGTTCACCTGACTAGTGAGTGGTGGCCCTGGCGCCAGAAACCTGCTTTCTGCCTCCTCGTGTGCTATGCTGGCAGCAGAAAGTGAGACAGGCACCAGTCAGTTTAATGCGGATCTTAAGTCTGAGGTGATAAGAACCCCAGGTATAACAACAGTCCTCTGAATCTGCTGTGACCTCACTTCTAATAAGTTAGAGTCATTTTGTTTCTTGATTACGTTATAGTTGGTGGTTTGGTTTTTTATTTGCTCAGTATTGGCTTTCTAGTATACTAATTATTGACACTCTGGTCATTCTTCTAATGTCCGGTACCATCTCCACTTGGTGGGTGAGAAAACAGGCTTCTAAAGTATCGTGCTGACAGTAATAGTGACTATAGAATCCCAATCCTGATCACTCCCCACCTTTGCCTCCACCTCTAGGCCAGGCCCAGTGGCTTACGGAACTGTTTTCTTTGGTACTTGAGACCAATCCCATTTTGAGAATTTGGAAGATTGAGCTTTCTTTCATTTACCTTCTAGAGAATAAGCCATGCATTCTTCTTAAAAATGCTATCTGTGAATGTGGAGAGAACAGTGTGTTATGTGCATTTGGGACTGAGAGAATCTGGAGATTCGTGAGCAGGGAGATGCAGCTAGTGTAGAGAGCGGTAACATGGAGGTAGTAGGCTGGCTGCTGTGTGCCTTATGTTCTTCAGTAAATGAAGAAATTCTACTGGTCAGTCTGGGTTCAGTGGCTTACAACTATAATCCCAGCTACTTGGGAGGCTAAAGCAGGAAGAAAATGAGATTAAGACCAGCCTGGGTAACATAGCAAGATCCCATCTGAACAAATAAAGAAAATAAGGTTAATTATTCCTCTCCCCCTGGGCATTTCGTATAAATCTTTATTAAAGGCTTATCACATTTGCTGTAGTTTTCTGTTTCCACAGTTGTCTCCTCTAGTAAGCACTGCTTATGCACAGTGATCTCAAGTCACTGCTTCCTAGTCCCAGGTTTGGCTTAAAGCCTGAATCAGATTAGATCCTTAGGAGTGTTGGTAGGATAGAATGGATGGTTGTGTGAGGGCAGCACTAGCATTCCTCTCTCGAGTTCTGAATTAGGTAGTTGTGTAAGCGAGCAGCTTACCTCTTCAGGCCCTCATTATAATGTTTGATCAACATTTAAAAACAAAACAAAACAAAAAAAACCTCTGCCATTGGCATAATCCTAGTTATTTTCCTAAGGAAGACCTTATTTTCCTAAGAAAGGGCCGCCTGTAGCTGAGTGAAAATCCTTACATCCAGCTTCTATCTTTGTTTGCCAGTCTGGAGTGCAGGGGGTACAGGTACTTTCCAGCAACCTGACTCATGTTCCTTTGCTGTCTTTCAGGTTGATTCACCCCAACAGTGGCCGATCCTACCACGAGGAGTTCAACCCCCCAAAGGAGCCCATGAAAGATGATGTATGTGAACTCAGAACAGAAAATTTTCATTCTTCCCTCTTTCTGCCTTCATTCTTTTCTTCTTTCTTTGTTCTTTGTTCTTTGTATCTTCCCTTTATCAATATTACTGACTTAACCATGGCAAGTAGCACTATCAAGTAAGCCAGGTGGCCTATGACAGATCTGTACAGTGTCTCCCCGGGTAGTGTATTGCTCAGTCCCAAAGCAGCTGCCAGTGTCCAGACTGTAGAGCAGACCTATCTAGCATCATACCCACCTGAGAGATAAATAATTGGGAAAAGGTTTCTGGGAAGCTTAGAATTAGCAGGGAAGTAGAACTGAAGAGAACTTTGCTAACCAGTCCTGCTCCAGAATATCCTGCCGACTTCTTTGCTGTACCCTGGGATCTTGTACATGGTCACTGTACCGTGTACTATAAAGAGTCCCTATGATGTTTTAGAGCGTACAGGCTATAGTGAGAATTCCCTGGGTTTACTTTTGTCATATGAGACAGGCTCATCAGGTTATCCAGATTCTATAAATACAGATTCCAAAGCCATCATAACAACTCAGTCACATTTCAGAAAATTGTTCATTTTTACCATTCAGATTCTTTCTCATTCCACTTACCACTTAGTAGATGACACTGTAATAATATGGTAAATATTTAGGCAACTAAGATTAGTCATTATGCCAGGCACGATGGTGCCCGACTGTAATCCCAGTTACTTGAAGGCTGAGGCAGGAGACTTACAAGTACACAGCCAGCTTGGGATACATAGAAAGACCTTTTTTTAAAACAAAAAGATTACAATTGCTAGTGCATCTCTGATTTTGATATATTCTCCTGGTCCCAGGAGAATGAAACCTGATGTTTTTCTGGTCTTCTAGTATATTCTCCATCTTCCTTGCTTCTTACTGATTTTGTTATATTCTCCTGGTCCCAGGAGAATGAAACCTGATGTTTTTCTGGTCTTCTAGTATATTCTCCATCTTCCTTGCTTCTTACCCTCTAAGCATTCACCTTGGAAGCTGAACAGCCTGAGAACAGAGGTGTGAGAGAAAGACATTGCCATTTTCCCTCTCATGAGCTCCTTATGGTTGCTGTTTCTGACAGTCTCCCTGGCTTCTCTGGACCAGCTGGTCTGCTTCTAAGAGTAGCCAAGTTCTTACTGGAAAGAGTCTATATTGTCTCTCTCTGCCTCTGATGGACTGTGGGATCCAACAGCAACCTGGGCAGGGGAGTTCCATCTCAGGCATCACACTCCGGACCCTGCGCTTGAGAGGCAGGCGGTGGAACCATTGAGCTAACCCCACCCCCTGCGCCCCCTTCCTTCTCTCTTTTTGCTCTCAGATCACAGGGGAACCCTTGATCCGTCGATCAGATGATAATGAGAAAGCCTTGAAAATCCGCCTAGAGGCGTACCACACTCAGACTACCCCACTCGTGGACTACTACAAGAAACGAGGGATCCATTCTGCCATCGATGCCTCCCAGACCCCTGATGTCGTGTTTGCAAGCATCCTAGCAGCCTTCTCCAAAGCCACATGTAAAGACTTGGTTATGTTTATCTAATGTTGGGTTCAAAACGGAATCTTTCTTCTTCCTATCCCTGTTAAGGGAATGGGCTAGAGTGGCAGGGCAAGCAGAAAGAAGCTTCCTTCCTCAAGCTAGCGAGAATATCCTTTGACGTACTGATTAAAAAGCATTTGCTTGGTATATCTTTGGTGTGTGTGCAACTCTCCTCTCATCTGTGTCTGTGTGCCGGTGTGTGGAAAAAGTTTGTTCACTCTCCTACTTTCTAAGTTTGGGGCTAGGTTGTTTTACCAACCATTTTGTTTGTTTTTTGAGACAGAGTCTTGGTCTTGCTCTGTAATTCAGGCTGGCCTTGAACTCACTGTGTGGTCCAGGCTGGCCTCAAACTCACCACAATTCTCCTGCCTCAGCCTCCAGATTAATGGGATTACAAGCGTGTACCACCACACCCATCTGCTTTACCAACGGTTTATTTTTTTTAGTTATACTGTTAATTTAATTTTTGAACAAAATAAACTACTCCTGGCATCTGTTAGACACCCCAGTTCCAAAGCCTCATAGAACTTATCCCACCTCCAGCAGCTGATTAGAAGACTAAGGTTACATTAAATCAGACAGGATCACTGTTCCTGATGCAGATTGTTGGTGGGGAATTTCACTTGTTTTCAGTTTACAGTGAAAAGCACATGAGTCAGTGTATAGACAGGGATCATTAATTTTTTTCACCCCTAAATGGAAGCAAAAGGCACTTTTATTACAGATTCCAGAAATTGCTGGGAGCTGGTATCACGGTATAAAGAGCTGGGCTAGCTTGGAATATTTTTTTGTAATCTGCATTATAAAGCACTATAAAGTAGGAATCATTTGGGACTTGGGCTGTTGAGGAAGAATCAAAGCAGATAAAGATTCTTTGGACTTCAGGTTGTCTTCTGAACATCCAGCCTGGGCTGGACACCTGGGAACAGCCAAATCCCTTCCCCAAAGAAGAGACCAGGGAAGAATTGATTGCTTTTATTTTTAATGTTTGCTTTTGTTACCAAGTGTAAACAAAACAATGATTTAAGGGTGATCTATTCTTGGATACAGTTTGATCGAATTTATTCAAATCCAGTCTTTCTAGGATATAAAACTCTAATCAGATATATTCTATTTAAACTCAAACTGTCTCCCTCCCAGATTCAATCCTTTACCCCTTATTTCATGATAGTGGTAGCCACAGACTCCCCAAGAAAAGATCACCCAAAAATAAGATCATCTATGATAGTAACCAGCTTTTATTTGTAACCTTAGCTCCCCAGCTGTTAAGCATTTTATAGGGTCCATGCTGTGCTTTTCGGTCTCTGGTTTGATTTGTGGCAAACAGATGAATTAATAGGCTGCTGTGGAGAGACCACAAACCCTGCGGCTCTGGAAAAACCATTAGAAAGTCAGTGGAACGTCCAGTAAGTAATACTGCCTGCCTCAGCATAAACCTACCGCTGACTTGGTGCGGTGGATTTTAAAGTGCCCGGTCCCCATCTGACCCAGGTTCTCCTGTCTGTGTGACTACCAGAGGGCCTGTCCTCTGTGCACATGGAAACAGTGTGGGTGGGTGGCCATCTTGATTCCTTCTTCACCCTGTCCAAGTGAGTGAGTGCTGCCTCTGCCCCGCCTTGTTCCCAGTCTGAGCTAGCTCCCCGCTCTCTTCTCAAAAGGAAGTCTGGTTTTTGTGTGTTTCTGGGAAGCACATGACTGTTGGGAATGGGCAGGAAAGAGGAGTGAAACCAAAACTATCAGTTATGCCTGTAGGAGTCTGGCCTCCTTCTCTAGATGAGAGTGGCCTTCTGGACCTTGGAGTAAACTCCCCTTTATTTTTTTTTTCCTTTTCCTCGTTAAGTTTATTGGTAGATTTTAGGTATACAGTAGGGAAAGTGGGAAGGGTAGGGGAAAGGTAATAAGGGAAAGAAAAAAAAATAGGAGAAAATGAAAAAATGGAAATAAACTCCCCTTTACTGGATAGTCGCAGGCACTTGGCCTCAAAGTCGGGGTTCCTGAGCGTCCGCTAGTGAAATGTGCATGAGCCTTGCCCAGATATTTGCCATCTAGCCACACTCACTCACACGTGCATGTGATATTCTGGCTGCAAGGAAGAAGTAGAAGATCACAAGGGTTACATATGTCCCACTGAGGTTGGTTAGGGTTTTGTTTTTGCGTCATTGAATCGCAGAATGTTAACCTGAGCAGGCAGGAGAGCTTGCGCCTGGCAGAGAAACATCCAGTGTTTAATGCAGTTGGTTGCTGGGGCATGTATGCCAGCCCTGTCTGGTATTTACTCGGTGTTTAAAAACCCATTTTGTTCTCTCTTGTTTCCTCTCTATTTCAGCCTAGTAACAGAAGGCCAGGCGAGACTGCATCACTGCTCATCACCCCGCGGCGTGATCCCTGCTCTTAGGTGCTGGGCGGAGAGGAAGGGTGGTCATGGGAAGGGTGGAGAGGGCGGGCTGGTGAGGGCTCAGGAGGAGGATGTGAAAGAGCAGCAGAATTGTAATGAGCTGCTTGGGTTTTTTTGTTGGTTTTTTTTTAACACGTAAGTGGGCATTTCAAAAGTATAAGCAAAGGAGATTTTTTTTTAAAACCTGTGATTAGAGGAGGGTATGGGTACAAATAGGAAGATACAGTATTATCACTAAGCAGTTGGGTTTTCATTTTTCCTGGACTGGTAACAATATTTTTAAAGACCTCAACTTTTATCTCAGAATCTCATAAGATGCCAGGCCAAAAATGCAGGAAATGGAACTGTGGTCCTGTCTGTCTCATAGCTTGGAATAAGGAGTTTGCTGACCTTGGTTCCCCACACAGTAAGATCAAAATATCTCCACATTTGAAAGAGATAAGGATAAATTCCCAAGGGCAGTGGCTCAGCAAATCAAGTTTGCTGGAGTTGGGGGAGCAGGGTGTGCAGGCCTAACTCCCTCCCCCTGACCTAACACTGATTTACCAGTTCATCTTCTCTCATAGCTAAGCTCTTAGTATCCCCGCCCACACCCCAATCCTGCAGTCTTATCTTTGTTCATCCATGGTGTATGAAGGGAACCCTTTTAAATAGATGAACAAGAGCTGGGGATAACTCAGTGATTCAGTGCTTACCTACCATGTGTAAGGCCCTGGATTAGGTCTCTAGCACCAGAAAAAAAAAAAAAGTAATAAAAATAAATGAACAAGTATCCTAAGCCATATCTTACAAAAAATTGCCCTTTCCATCCTCAAATCCTGTAACTGGAATCATTTGACAGCACTGTGTGATGTATTTTCAATGAGGTGCCTTTCTTAACTGACCAAATGCTGCCTTGTTTGGTCCCTAAATCAATAAAATATATTTAAAAAATTTGTCTCCTGTTGTGGCATTTGCTTTGTTTTTTGGAGGCAATCTGTGTTAGAAAAACTGACATTGAATTCTGGACCCTAGCAGCCACGTGTAGGGAGACCCAAACGTGTGTTCCCAAGATGAGCCTGCACCTTTGGGATCCCCAGCTCTTGTACAGGCTTTTCTTGAGCCCAGAGACAAGGCACTGTCTAGTCCAAAGCACTGTGCTTGGAGTCTGGGGAACTGAGGACAAGTCCCAGCCCGTGAGTCATCTGCTCTGCTCATGTCTCCTAAATCTGAATAAGGCCGATGATGCCATCTTCTCAGACTTACTGGCATTAAATGGAGTTTGTAAGGAAAAGCTCTTGGCTTGGTGCCTAGCACATAACAGACATTAGATAAATGTTAGTTGGATCTGGATAGTCACAAAAACAATACCTGCTTCATGCTGGGCTGGATGGACATTTGTCCACTGCCAGTGCTCCTGATCCCTAAGCCAATCTTTGGCTACCTTTTCAACTGCTTCAACACCTTTTTGTGTGCTCTAGTTTAAACCCATTTACTCCCCAGCAAAAGTGACCTTAACCCATTTGTCCAAACTGAAGCATTCATGTTTTTGGAAGGGTTGCCTCTGCCAGTGAGGTTTCTGAGAAATCATTGCTGTTTCCAGAACCAGAGGGAGCTGGGTTGGAAGCACTACTGTTCTCCAGGCGTCTTGTTACTGAGAGGCAAAGTCCTCACTGGCTATTAAGTCCTGCTCCCTGGGCCAGCTCCTCCCTCTTCCGCTCCACTTCCCCGTCCAGCAGAGTCATTTTCAGGTGTGAGCATGACATTTGCTCTGATCTTTTCATTGCCTGAGCTTTTTAAATACCCTGTGGAAATTTTTTTCCATTCCTTGATCATCATATGTCCAACTGGGAGGAAATATTTGGCAAACCAGCCTGAAAAGTATCCTCATATGATTGAAAAGAATAAACAGAAGAATGAGTGTGCTGTTACTCATTTGCTTCTCTGGACTTTGGTTTCCTCATTGCAAACCAAGATTGGACGGGGAAAGATCACTAGCTTCCTGGAGGACTGACAGCATGCCAAGTATTAGGCAGAGGCTTCACACCCTCGACCGCTGACCCCCTCATAGAGGACACTGCATCAGAGCCTATTTTACAGGCAAGGAAACCAAGACTCAGTGAAGTAACATTGCTTACGTCACACAGAAGAGCAAAATCAGAGCTCACATGCCCACACCTGGGCCTTCTTGCCGAAGTGATTTCGTGAGTTGTGCAACTCTGCAGGCAGGAAGAAACCTTCTGAATAAGATCCCTTTTTCACGGACACTCGCTGCCACACTGATCTTGAAAGTGTCACTGCCAGTTCTGAGGACCTGGGGTGTGTGTCTTCGGATTGCTCATGTAGTATGTCACTGACAGCAGAGCAGGCTAAAGAGCAACCTCAGAAGCCTGACCGTCTCCTCAGAAGAATATAGCAAGTCAGAATACAGATTTCAACAGCAGCTCCACCACAAGACGGGCCACTTAGCCCCCTTCATCCCTGAAAGGGGAATGGCCCCTACCCTCAGGTGTATTGACAGCTTTGGTGGCCCAAGGGCTCATGTGGGGAGGGATGACCAGTACACAGCTGCTCCGGAAATGCCGATGGAGTTCAGAGAGAAAAATGTAGACATTGATGAGAACTGAGTATCATACATCTGAGAAAGCAGAACCAAAGTGTGGGCCTGTGTCTGTGGCTCCACACCCCAGCCTCAGTGCTGGGGGAAGAGGAAAGGTTCTCACAGGCACTCATAGTACAGAAAAGCCTATGACCCATGGATCAGATGGAGAAACCGAGGTGTACTCCGTCACAGTGAAGGTGCTGAGTGGAGACCATTGTCACAGGTAAAGCCTTTTTTTATATCATCCTCTGTGGCTTCTCTGCTATTGGGGTGCAGGATTTGCAAAGCTGGAGACCATCCCAGAGGGGAACGAGAGGAGTCAGCTTTTCCACCTCTGGTTCTGGAAAGGGTGGCGGCGGCAGAGTGTACACTGCCTCTGCTCCCGTCACCCCTGACTTCAGCTGCATTCAGTCATTGGCGTTGCATTATTCATAACTCCAGAGGGAGCACTGCTTCTGATGTCTCAGGATCCTGCAGCTTTGCACTTAGCCCTCCTGGGCAGTGTGACATGAGCTTCCCCATAGGATGCCCTTCCAGGTGACCCGTCCTGGTTGAAGTGCCCCCAGCAGAGAGCAGGGGGGAGTGAAAAGATAAAAAGTCAGAGAGCAAGACCAGGCTTAGATCCTCTCTAGGTCACCTCAGCCTGCAAGCCAAACAGATGTTGAAGTGGAGTAAAACATTCCATTGTGTGGTGTCACTTAGATAAAAACTTGTAGGATAAATTCCTCTGAGCTTATAGCCAGGAGACTCTGTTCTCTGTTTAGCACACCCGGCTTTTTTTTTTTTTTTTTTTTTTAAGTTTTTGAGACAGGGTCTCACTATGTAGTTGAGACTGACCTGGAACTCACTGTGTAGCCCAGGCTGGTGTCGAACTCACAGCGATCCTCCCGCCTCAGCCTCCTGAGTGCTGGGATTACAGGCGTGCACCACCATGCCCGGCTTCTATTAAAATTCTTAGCCCAGCCCAATCTCAGTTGTTTTACATTTAGTGTTTTTGTTTTCATGGTGTGTGTGTGTGTGTGTGTGTTAAACTGCCCTGAGTCCATTTTGGAAGAAGTATACAGGAAGGGCTAATGAGACAGGACAGGGCCCCTGGCTCTGCGCAGGGGGTGAAGGGGGACACAGGTCAATAGAAGGCACAGCCCTAGGACTGGGTAAAGGCTGCTGTGCTCAGGGCTGCCCTCACCTAGTGAAGTAGAGTTCTTGGGAAACCTAGGTCTTCCTGGAAATGGTGCTTTTCAAGTAAAGTACAGGAACAATAGAAGCAAAGTTTTTCAGCTCATGAATAATGTCAAGAACTCAGATGATCAGAAGAGAAGGATATGAACACACCTCACTTTACGTTCAGCCTGAGTACCATTCTTCGCTGTTCTAGCCATGCCACAGTCTGTGCTCTGACCAGAACTAGGTGACCCTTTACTGTGGGACTAAGGAGGGACCCCTCAATGTTTCTGTCAGCTCTGCGGTTCACTTGTGTCGGCAGTGGAGTGGGCATGGATTCTGATGATGAGACCTGGTTAGATTTTGGCACTGACAGTAGCTCACTCTGTGTCTCTTAACTCACACTAACCCTAAGCTTCAATGAGCTTGACTCTGGAAATTGAGGGTCATAGCATATAAGTAGAAGCGTGGCCAAGTTCATACAGACTGAAAAGCAGCCCAATAAATGATTCTCTTTTCCCATGGCTATTAGGTATCACAGGAATCATCACCCATTCCTATTTCCCAGTTACTTTTGTTCCATCCCCTTTGGAGTACTGTACCAAACCAACTGCTTTTGTGGTGGGGGGTACGTGGAATTGAACTCAGGAACTTGTGCTTTCATGGCAGGCAGCAGAAACACTGAGCTAGATCCCCGGCCCACTTTACCAAACCAGAACAGGCTGCTGGTTAAAAAACGTGGGTATATTGGGCTGGGGTTTTAACTCAGTGGCTCCACTGCCTGCCTCACAAGAGCAAGATCCCAAGTTTAACCCCTGGTATCAAAAAAAAAAAAATTGCGTATAAACTGGGCATGGTGGCACATGCCTATAAACCCAGCACTCAGGAGGCTGAGGCAATCAGATCATCTTGAGTTTAAGGCCAGCCTGGGCTCCATAGTGGATTCAAGGCCAGCCTGAACTGCGTACTGAGACCCTTTCTCAAAACAAACCAAAAAAAAAACAGTTATTTCCTGAGCTGCTGGGTATGCCCCTGGGTGGAGGCAGAACTCTCTTCTTTTCTCCAGAGATGCTAATTCTGCTCAGGTTAGTAAGAGGTTGTCCTGACATGGCAGCCAGCCGGGTAATGATGTTCTTAACAACCACAGAGCCCCAGCGCCCCAAGAGTAGGACATTCTGTCGTTGAAGGTGAGGGAACTGGAGCCTCTGCCAAAACCACACCTTGAGCTGACAGTACCTGCTTGGGTTCCACAGACCTCTGATGGCTTCCTGCAGGAACTGCCCTCCTTGGGGCCAAGATGGGGAGGGGGTGCACACCCACAGAAGTGCCTGATGAGAGAAATCTGTGTTCAGATGCATGCGGCACCAGGGAGATGCCGGAGTAGGCAAGAAATCATTAGTGAGAATTCATCTCCTATTTTAAGAACCTTTGAAAATTGCCCTGTATAAGGGAATGAGCAGTTCCTGCTTCCTGGTAAAGCAGGCAGGAAGAGCAGGTCTCTATCTGGTGCTTTAGTGGTATCCAGGGTGCTCAGTAAGGGTTTGCTAGCTAGAAGCCCCTGGCTCAGTGACTCCAGTTTGTTCATACACCCTGAGGAAATGACTAAACAGGTGAAGAAAGCATTTTTTTTTTTATGATGATAAGAATTGGAAACAACCTAAATTTCCAACAACAGGGGAGACTGTGATTCATTTGTGGAATAGTATAGTGTGCTGCCATGAAATAATCATTTCAGGACACAAAATTTTCACAAGAAATCACTAGGTGAATAAACAAAGTTATAAAACAACACAGAAGCCAGGCATGGTAGTCCCATGCCTGTAATTACAGCAACTGGGGAGGCAAGAGGATCCTCAGCAAGAGGATCAAAAGTTCAAGGCCAGGCTAGGCAAGTGAGCAAAACCCTGTCTCAAACAAAAACAAGTAAATAAAAAGGACTGGAGATGTAGCTCAGTGGGACAACACCCTTGGTTTTGATTGCTAGGACCACTGGGGTGCTCACCACT